GTTCAACTACTGTTTGAAGGCAAGCCTCTATTCATTGGCGTGAAACCAGAAGTCCCTGAAATTTAAACAAATGGTGAAGTAAAGTAGAAAAATAATGGGACTGGCCAGCCGTTTAACCCATGCCTTAGTACTTACCGACCTCAATAGGTCACTAAGCCATTCCGCCCAATATGCCATGTATACCAGTGTCCCTGTTCGGGCGCCATTTGTTGGGGTCCTTTAATGGACTGGAACCTGGTGGTACGGAGTCGACGATAAGAAAGTAAAAGAGAGAAAGAGAGAGAGAGAGAGAAATAAGACCCAGGGACCTAAGCTCTGATAGAGCAAAGGTGCTTTAATGATTTTTCTATGAGTATATATAGGCTGTGGTACAAGAAACTTCTTTCGGGAATGATAGAGATCAGAAAACCAAACTTACAGCAACTGTTACCAAGGGAACAAGGGGTAATGTTAGTCACAAGGTCAGGAGACAATCCATATCTCAAGAAAGGGGAACGAGACTGAGCAGTTTTGTCCTAAAGAGAATGTTTACTAAAGGAGACCGAAATCTGCCTCACACAATGACCTCAGTCCCTGGGAGCAGCGTGCTGTTCTGCTTGAAGAGGGACAAAGGATTCATGAGAGACAGCACGTAGGAATCCCCCCATCAAGCATTCCCTGACACTCACCAACAAGGAAAACACAAAATATCTACAGTTACAAATGGATAGAATAAGAACAAGCACTTCACAGAATGGAATCCCACATGGATAACAGATACAATTAACATTCAAAGTAGATGATTATAAGAGAAATTGAAACAGCACAAAGTTAGTAGCTGAGGATGAGGTATAGGGTGATGAGCAAGTGTATAGGATCTGATGTCAGAGCTGACATATGTAAAACAAAATGAGGTTGGTCTTAGATGACATTGATAAGCTGGAGAGGAAATGGAAAGGGATTGGCAGGAGCAAGGGTGGAATTGGTTCTTTTGCAAGGAAGCAGATCCATGAAATCCAATTACATAAGGACAAAAGCTATGGTGATGGTGGGGGGGACAGGACAAAAGCAGCACAAAATAGTAGGGAAGGAAAAAAATAACTAAGAAAGCAAGGTCCTGAGACGGTAGTGTGGCATATGATCTAGAATACAGGTATGGGGGGAGAAGGGCAGAATACTCTCCTGCCAGAAAGCCAAAGAAGACAATGGGTACTGGCAAGGGTCATACTAGGAGATGGCATTTAAGTATTAAAGGGGCTTCTGTCAACTCTGCCTCAGCAACTCTAAAAGTTTAGAGACTGTTTTTTGTACACAAAGTTTTTTTTTCCCACAATTATTTTATTAGATGGAAGCTAATTACTTTACAATATTGTAGTGCTTTTTGCCATACAGTGACATGAATCAGCCTTGGATTTTCATGTGTTCCCTACCTGAACCCCCTTCCCACCTCCCTCCCCATACAGTTTTTAATGAATCTAACTCATAAAGCTCTCATTTCCAAATAAAAACAAATTCCATATCATGTAAATGTTTATAGTGACTAATTTATCTAAACATATATACAGGTTCAGTTGTAAGATATTAACTAAAATTCTGTGACAAATATGCTTTTTCTTAAATACCAAGAACATTAGAGAATTAATACAGAGTCCTGAGGACAATCTAGTAGTCACTAAGTTTTTCTTCAGTCTTCACTTAAGAGGCTGTTATTTCTAGCACAGGTAAGCAGGCACAGTCTTTCATATGATCAAACACTGGAATCTTTGATTGCCTCCATAATAGCTGACTTGCAAACAAGTAGCCAATCAATTTAAGAATGTGTTAAGTGAACAACTTGCAAACCCCAGGGATGGATAAACCCTCAAAATGCATTAACAACCATAGCAACTGCAATGAGACCTCTCAAATCAGTCTAGTTCAAAATAAAGATTTTAAATAAAATTGGCATAGGCACAATTTTCCCACCCATTTGTGTGTGTGAAGCATTTAGTGAACTTTTCCACTCGAAAAAGTGAAACAGAAAACCAGATACCATGGTTCACTAACTACAGAGCCTTCAACTCAGGAGAGAATATCTCTGCTGACCAGAGCCAGTTTATAGGGAAATGAATTTGGTGCTCCAGTCTTCTGCTCTGCGTCCTCTGTTCCTTGATTCATGCTTTGGAACCTTTCGCTTCACTTTTGGTTTTCTCAGGTTGATTGCCTGGGTGGGGTGGGGATTGGGCCTGCTGACCTTGCCCACTTGAAGAGGCAGCCTGCTGTTCTTTCTGCTTTAACACTATCCAATCAAATGCATAGTCATATTGGTAATTCAGGGTCCTGAAAAGAAGGCGGAATAGCCGCCTCAGATACCTGTAATCCGGGGCTTCCTCAAAGGACAGCCCACGACAATGCTTTAAGTACATGGCAAATTGTATAGGAAAGCCATCACATAAAACATCAATGGATGTGGTCGTCTTCACTTCTCTAATCTTTTCAAATGTTTGCTTCATTGTTGCACCCTGTAGTCCTTGCCATGGCAGGCTGCCTCTATTAAAATACATCAAAACATATCCTAATGATTCCATGTCATCTCGGCGACTCTGTTGAATACCAAGATGTGCACTGATGCTAGCATAGAGAGGTGTGCCAGTGACACTTTTACCCTTTCTGTGCCGTATGTGTTGCCCTGTGCTGGGGTCTCTGTACTTCTTGGCCAAACCAAAATCGATAAGGAATAACTTATTACCCTGCTGCCCAGTACCCATTAGGAAGTTTTCTGGTTTAATGTCTCTGTGTATCAGATTTTGTGTATGCACATATTCGAGTCTACTGATCATCTGATCAGCTAACATAAGTACAGTTTTCATTGTGAACCTTCTTGAACAGAAATTGAAGAGGTCTTCAAGGCTGGGTCCCAGAAGGTCCATGACTAGCACCTTACAGTCCGTTTCCTGACCATACCACCGTATCTGGGGGATGCCAACCCCACCTTGAAGAACATTATAGAGCTCCTTCTCATATACCAACCGGGGCTGCCTCGCATCCTGTGACTCTAGTTTCACTGCCACTTCCTCGTGGTTGGTGAGGTCTATCGCCAAGTAAACGTCCCCGAAGGAGCCACACCCGATCTCCCGTACCAGTTTATATCTCCCTCCGACAATGGAATCGGCCTTGGGTCCGCTGCTACTCGCCATCCTGAGAGACAAAGATAGAGTTGAGGTTAAGCTCTGACACCTCTAAGGGGACGATCGACGCCCCTCAGGCTCGTCCGCGGAGCAAGGCCGTGAAGGCAGGCAGGAAACAGAAAACACTGGCTGTTTCTCAGCATTACAGGGCCCAGAATCGGCCAACGGAAATCTGACCACCGCTACTGTCAGATGTCTTTTCACCAGCCCACAGACCGTTGAGGGGGTTCTCACCGTTAGCCGGCTGAGCCTCTGGCTTCTGGCGACGACTTCTGGGGCTGGTAAAGGGCAGCCGTGAAGTTATGGCGGCGATACCACGGCCACCAGTGATGACGATTCCCGTCAGGAGAGACCCTTGGTCACTGCGCTGTCACTGCCATCTTGTTATAACGGCTGCAGCCAACGCAAAGTGCGCCGAGTTCCCGCCAGGTGCTTCATGGCGCAGAGAACTCTGGGAAAGGAATCACGGGCGCTCTTAGAACCTTCAAGACCAGTTATCTTCAGAGTCTTTCGAAGGCATCAGCCTGTCCTAGAAAAAACAGATCTACTCCACGTCCCCCGTCTACTCAGGTCACACATCTGAGCAGCCGTGATGTGGGGTTTCCTTCTCCAGTGTCCATGGGCCGTCTTCTTTCTCCAGCTTGAAGATGACCTCTGGTTTGGGAGCTTGGTTCCCTGTGAACAGGACATGATACGGGATTGGGTCCGGTTAACTGGGTTTCAGGGCCTTTCAACCACGCTCCTATTTGCTCTTCAGGAAAGTAATCCCATTTCCCTGGGGATAGAGTAATAAAGAAGTGTAAAAGGACTGAAGTATCTCGGGCAAATCAAACATGACACAATTACACACTTCAGATGCCCCAGAGCATTCAGCAGCTGAGAACGGAAGCAGCCTCTCTGAGGCCCCTGGAAGGTGCAGAGGGCAGCTGTGCTTACTGACCCATTGCACCCAGTTGGCTGTAGGTCTCCAGTGTTGCATCCTGGCCCAGGCACCTATGTACAGGGTCCAAGTGCTGCCACTCCTCCTTGCTGAAGTCCACAGTGACGTCCTCGATGACCCCTGTTACAGTACAGTCCCATTCCAGGTGACAAGGTCAGCGCTAGCGGTTGGATGGAAGAGGACTAGGAAGTTAGTTGTCTTTAATGATTTTTGCCATGATATGCTATGCTTATTAAATACCTAGTTATACCTACCATTGTGCAGGGTAAAAAGATCTAAAGCTATTCATTTCTCTTATTCATCATGTGTTAAATTCAATCAGTAAATCATTATTCAGAAATTAAGATTAAATTAGCTTTTCTAAATCTTCTAGTTCTTTTAGCAAATACCTAGAATTCATTTCTTAAACAGGTAGGTAGCAGACATGCTAGGTTCTTTGGCCAGTGCTGTGTGCTAATTCACTTCAGTCCTGTCTGACTCTTTGTAACCCCATGAACTCTAGCCCACCAGGCTCCTCTGTCCATGAGATAAATCCACGTACCCATGGACACCTTATCTTTGACAAAGAGGGAAGGATATACAATGGAAACAGTCAACCTCTTTAACAAGTGGTGCTGGGAAAACTGGTCAACCAC